AGATAGCACTTGACAATAAGTCGGAAATAAGCGGCGAAGGAGGAAAATGACTCATTTAAAAAACCCAACTCCTCAGTATTCCTGCATCAATTATCCAACAGATGGATAAGCCATATACCAAAAGAGAGAACACTGGAGATGGAGAAAGTTTGAGATGATAGTGTGATGATCCCACTTTTGGATATTCTCAATTTGAGTGCCCATGAGCTATCCAAGAAAACAATTCAAGATTTTGAGATCTATCACATAACAGGATGATTAAAGTCAGCAATAATATGTTGTATATTTCAAGATAATAAATAAATTACAAATGTCTCATCTGAAAAAATGATAAGTGAGGTGATATATATTAGTCTATTTAATTGTTCCACATTGTATGTATATATCAAAACATCACGTCGTGCCCCAGAAATGTATATAATTATGATTTGTGAATTTAGAATAATAATAGAAAATAAACTGCCATTTATCTTTCAAAATAATTTTTAAGAAGTAGTATTAAAAAGAAAAACCAAAGTATAGAGCTCAGAAAACAAGTTTTGTTTTCAGCTTCTAAGACTGCCGGTAAATAACAGGGAGTGACCTGGAGGTAAACATGACGGAGTGGAAGACGTTATTGCCATATGACGCTTTAACCGGCTATGACTTTTATATTTCTAGGTTCTTCTAGTCAATGAAAAGCATCAGCCAATCCCCAACAAAACTATATTTGTTAGTGTGGAGGAAGCTAGATACCATTCCAGTGCACCTACTGATGAGCATGGTTTAGTGAACATTTCCCTTGACACCACCAACTGCACATCACCCTTTATTACAGTTTCAGTAAGTGGAAAGGGGCATCTGGGATCAAACAGAGATGACTGTGGTTAGAATTAAAGATATTTGAGAAGCATATGAACTTCAGGAATTTTTTTAAAAAAGTGATAACGAGTAAAACGTAAATTAAGCCATGTGGAGACCTAAATGATAAAAAACAGAAAAATCTGTAAGAAATCTTTTACTTGCATGTAAACTCTGTTGAAAATATGATTTAGCTTCAAGAGACATTGAATATATCATCTTGGTATTCCTTTGAAAAATTGAATATTTTTATGATTCTAGTACAAGTTAGATCTTGCTTGGTTTCTTTGGCATACTACTATTTTCGTTTTGAGTTGAATGTTTAAATGTTCTCCTTATGCACGTTGCAGCCATAGGGTGCTAAGAAAAAGTAATTGACCTTGCTTGTGAATGAATAACATCTACTAAATCAGTATAGCATAAGCTTAAATGATCTCAAGGGGAAGCAGTTTATAGATTACGCTGCATTTGAGAAAGCAGCTTCTGATATGGCTTTATTATATCGCTTTATGTATATGTGTGTGTGTGTGTGTGTGTGTGTGTGTGTGTGTGTATGTAAAACATTTATATTTATTCTTTCTTCCATTAGGTCAAATACAAAGATAATGACAAACGTTTCGATAACCAGTGGGTTCAAGAATTTCATACACAAACACACTTTGTTGCAAAGCATTTTGTTTCCCCAAGCAACAATTATATTCACCTTAAACCTATTATGGGTACTTTGGCCTGTGGACAAACCCAGGAGATTCAAGCACATTACCTCCTGAATAAACAGATTCTCAAGGATGAAAAAGAATTCACCTTCTATTATTTGGTAAGACTAAGAGCCACTGTAACTCTTTCTGACTGCGTAGACTCCAAAATTGCTGGGTTCCTGTCTAAGTGATGTCATTTACAAGATATCAATAATACATTTTTTGTTGTTTTATGCTTGAAGAGAAGTTACTTCCTAACAAGTCTGAACACTTTAATATCTCCTCTACGCTCTGGTCACCACTGAAACTTTCAGAATTTTTCCTTCCATAGTCCCAATGGCAACTCATTGAGCAGGAGAGGAAAGAGCCGAGGATAAAATAATTTTAGTCCAACAGAAAAATTTTTCTTAGAACTCAGTAGATAAATAACCAAAGGCTGGGAACCATGAATGAATTCAAAAGGAAGCAAAACTTATAAACAAGTTTCTGGAAAAATATTCAATTCTAATTATTTTACAAAGCTCATGACTGGTGTGATTGCAGGGAAAAGGTATATTAGCAGGCAGACTATAAGTTGGAATGATACATTTGAGGCCAATATTCCTATGAATGCCCCAAAATTTAAAATGTCCAAGGCTAAAACTTAACTAAGTCATTTTAAGAAGAAAAAGTTAAATATAGGAAATTCTGTATAAGAGGATTAATTATCAATAACATTTTCTTAATTCCATGAAAAATAGAAAAATTAACAATAAATTTGAATTTTCTAGGTTTATTGTTTCCTAGATATATGACCTTGGATAGTTTACTAATTTCATCTGGAAAGAGAAATGTCAGTCATCTCAACTTAGTCCTGTAGATAATATTAATACCTACTTCATGGAATTATAGTGTAAATTAAACAAGTTAATATTAAATTACTTAAGTTCCTGGCATATAGAAAATGCTCAATATATTTAGTTTTTTAAAAATAGAGGCAATAATAGAGAATATTTATGTATACTTTATGTCTGCCTTCACTATATATTTGCATAAGGTAGATGTTTGAAATGTTTGTTAAAAAACTGCATAAATTTTGTTTACATATTTACATATAATACATTTATTAGGAGTGAAAAACTTTAAATAGTAAAACATTATAAAATTATATATTTTTTATTTAAAGTAGGTGAAGACACATAAATGAAGATATTGAAAAGGAAGCTCAGTGAGCAAAATAGGTTGGGGTAATAAAATTATGGGTCACCAATATATCATGACTGTTTTAAAGTTAGGTTAAAATGCTTATTGTTAAATTGTTTAAAACAATAATGAACATATTTGCCTCTGTCTTCAGATCAAAGCAAGAGGAATCATCGTCCAATCAGGAAGCCATGTGTTATCCACTGAGCAAGGAGACAGTAAGTATTTTTGATATTTCATTTTTCTTTCCTCTATCACCTTGTCAAATTCGGAACAAGTTAGCAATCTGGAGCATTTTCACATTAGAAGAAACAGGCATCAACCTCTTCATCCAAAGATGAAGAAGCTGATGTAATAGGATGACATACTGGGTTCGCTTTAGCCCAATTAAGATTTTTTCTTCTTTTATAGCATTCCTACATTTTAAATTGTATTCCTGAACTAATATATATTCATTTTATAATTAAATGTCTTTAAAAGGCAGAAAATAACTGAAAAACTATGGAAAATAACCACAGGATAAGTTTACTTCTTATGCTTGTATATTCATTTCCCATTACTACTGTAACTGATTATCACACATTTATAGGCTTAAAACAATACTTCTAGTTCTTCATTTTAGTGTCTTAAAACTCACTTCTGTCTTCTAGTTCTGGAGGTCAGAAGTCTCACTAGGCTAAACTCAAGGTGTCACAACTGCGTTCCTGCTGGAGCTTGATGAGAGACTGTTCTTGCCTTTTCCAGCTTCTAAAAACCTCTTGCATTCTTTGGCTTGTGATTCCCTTCTTTATCTTCAAAATCAGCTGCATACCATCTTCAAATCTCTCTCACCTTCCTGTCTTCCTCCTAGAAAGGCCCTTGTGATTACATTGGGCTCACCTGGATAATCCAGACTAACCTTCACACCTCAAGATCTTTAATTTAATCATTTCTGCAAAGGCCCTTTTGCCATATAAAGTAACAAATGCACACGTTTTGGGAATTGAATATCTTCAGGGGCCATTATTCTATTTACCACTATCTTCTGATTGGCCAGAGATTCACATTCATCCCTCCTGCAAAGTACATTCGCTCTATCCATCATCCCTAGAAGCCTCAATCCATTACACCATTAACACAAGATTAAAAGCTCACAGCCTCATCAGCTCAAAAGATCCAAATCTCATCATCTCAATCATCTAAATTAAGTGTTAATGAGGCCCTGGACATAATCCATCGAAGGGCAAAAAGAGTCATTAGTCTCAAGAAGTGATGAAATCTGGCTGGGAAAACAACATAGTTTCAACACCTGGGAATAATCCTCTTTAGTTCATGTCTCTATCCTCTGGGCTCCAGGATCCACTTTTGGAATCATTCACCCTTTTTCATGAAGAACGTGTTTGCAGCTGAATTGTTTTATCAAACCTTGTTTCCTGCTTGCATAATATGAGAGGACACTCTTCTTTTATTCTATGCTCTCTCTGTCCCTTTTAGCTGAAGCTGACAGTGTTTCTGTTAGTATAAATTTTTCAAGAACCAGGTAGGTCTCCTGTGTGTCACAGAGAATTCTTCTGTTAAACAAAAAGCTTCTTCTATCTCCCATTTTGGCTTTTGCTGAGATGAGTAAGAGTATCTAAGAGTCATGCACTTAATATTTTCAAATAGCCCTATTCTGTGACTAAATTACTCTGACATTTTTGTTTTTCTGCAAAGCAAATCTTTAGCAAACAATTGTCCAGTCACACCATAGCTCTTTTTTTCTAGAGCACAATTTCCTGACAGTGAATGTCTTAATTTTACTGATTGTAGATAAGCTGAGAAATTTTCAAATTATCAAGTCCTAGTTCGTTTTTGATGACTAATTCCTCATTCAATTTAAGTTTTTTCTTTCCAGTTTTATTATAAACAGGAAGAAGGAGTCAGACTAGCCCTTTAACACTTTTCTTTAAAAGCTTCCCCCTAAATATCTAAATTCATTAACATTTGGTATTTCTTTTTCTTAAATATTTTGTTGACTTTACCAGTGAAGCCACCTGGACATAGAATTTTCTTTGTGAGAAAGTTTTAAATACAAACTTATTTTCATTAATTAAGTACAATTTAAGCTTACTGCTACTTTAGTAAATTTTTGGTTGTATAGGTCATTTAAAATCTTGTCTATTTTTCTAAACTGTTTAATTCATTGACATAAAATGAATTAAACAGTTTATAAAGGTCCATAACATTCTTTTATAGCTTTAAAATATCTGTAATTTCTACAGTGACAGCACCACTTTTATTCAAGATACTTATAATTTATGTCTTTTCTTGATCAGTTTGGCTAGAAGCTTCTCAATTGTAATTTCAAACAGCTAGTTTTTGGTTTAATTGATTTTCTTTCTTTTTTTATTTTTGTGTCAGTGGTATTCACTGATCTTTATCAATTAAAGATTGATTTTAATTTAGTCTTTTTATACTTTCTTCATGAGGATGCTGGGGTTGTTGATTGAGAACTTTCTTCTTTTCTAATGCTAGTGTTTAGTGTTACACATTTTTCTGTTAATAATGCTTTGGTTGCATCCCATAACATTTACAAGTGATACTTTAATTTTGAATCAATTTAAAACATTTTCTACTTCCCTTTTTGATTTCTTATTTGGACTATGAATTATTCAGAAGTGTGTTATTTAGTTTCTGAATGGGAGACATTTTAGAGATCTTTCTGTTACTGATTTCTGATTTAATGCCATTATGATTGTAACTTTACTTCTTTTAAATTTATGGAGACATTTTATAGCTCAGAAAATACGGTCTATCTTGGTAAATGTTAGAATATGTATTCTGCTGCTGTTAAGTGTTCTCTGAATGTCACTGAGATCAACTGGGTTAATAGAATTTCTCTTTCTTAGATCACACTTTTCTTCTTTACTTCCTTAAATCATAAATATCTTATTAATTTCCGTTATCCTGGGAAGAATGTTTAACATTTCATAGAAAGATAAGTAAAAATTTTTTTAACAAAAGTACAGCTGGCCTATTTACTTGTTACCAGTTGTCCCCACATTAAATCTCATAAGGAAATAATAGACTTCTTTTTGTTAGTTTGTTTTAAAATTTAAAACAAAATTGAATATTTATGAGCTATCATTTGACCGAAGCAACTTTTATTAACAGAGCTCATTTAGAAAGATCAAAACACCCGTACCTCCAGGGTCAGTTAATATATCCAGGAAAAAGTGAAGAATATATAAGATTTGGCATATGTTTTATATTTTAACTCTGAAACATCGTTTCTTGTATTAGCACTTGGCACACAGTGAGTAGATAATAAATATTTTTAAATGAATTCATAAATCAAGGATAAGTTATCTCTTGGTTTACAATTTACCAGAGCCAAATTGTGAAAAAAAGTCCATCAGAATCATATCCAAAGGGAGTATACATTCCTGTCATAATGCATCTCTGTAACAGGAATTTTGGATAACAGTGTTAATAAAGCATGCTTTATGCCCTCCAGATTCCCACAGACAAGTAGAGATAACGGGGTGCTACCTAAAGACTGACAAGTTATAACAAATCCCATTTCTTCTAAATGCTCTTACTAGAAGAGCTAAATAAAACCCTAGAGTTTTCCATACACTTTATTTTATGTGAAAGTTGATACCTAAAAATGTATCTCAACTTGCTCAACTTAGTAGAAGCCTACGCCAAGAAGACTCTCCTCTGTCACTATGTTTCTCTAGCTCCCCTTTGCCTCTTTATTTAAGTAGTTCAATGCAGCATCAAGCAAAACTTATGCCCTAATATCCTGAACATGTTTTTAAATAAAAATTGATTTTTAATTAGTCACCTAACTCAATTATTTACAACTTTTCCTTTAAATAGTCATGTAAAGTTTGATTAAAATACCCTTTTAATTAATCATGAATTTGTTTGATTTCAAAATATGAATGTTTGTCTGTAATTTTTTTGAGCTCCAGATTAGCCTCTAAATAAATTTCCTGTAACTCTGCATCTAGATGAAAACTTTTTTTTTTCATAGACTTTCTCCCAGTCTTTTTGAGCCAGCAAGAGGCTTCTAAGGTCATGATAAGGGTGTAAAACCCACACTCTGAATCCCCGCTCACCGTAGGTTCTTCTTAGGTCTATAACATCTCTTAGGCCTATATAATCTCTTACTGGTTGTTTTCTTTCTGCTTGAAATAAAGCATAAAATTTAAATACAGTCATTCAAATATGAAACGTTGACTCTAAATTTCCATTTAATCCTTGATTTTATGTTATTGAACATCATATTGATTTTTTTAGAGCAGGTAAGTTTGTCTCTTATAACATATGAAAAATAAACTGCCTCACAAAGCAGTGTCTTCAAAGTTTGTTTCTGCAGTTGAGTTTAGATCCTGTATGGACTGAATACTGAGGTGGTGGGTGGGGAGAAGTGTCTCTCTCTCTTTTGCGTGTGTGTGTGAGACAGAGTTTCACTCTTGTTGCCCATGCTGGCGTGCAATGGTGCGATCTCAGCTCACCTCAATGTATGCCTCTTGGGTTCAAGCGCGTCTCCTGCTTCAGCCTCCCACATAGCTGGGATTACAGGCATGCACCACCACACCCAGCTAATTTTGTATGTTTAGTAGAGGCAAGGTTTCACCATGTTGGTTAGGCTGGTCTCAAACTCCTGACCTCAGGTGATCCACCCATGTCAGCCTTCCAAGGTGCTGGGATTACAGGCCTGAGACACCGCACCCGGCCGAAGTGGCTCTCTTTTTAAGAAAAAATATACTTCATTTTATTTAATGACAGCTATGTAAATGGTTGTTTTGACTTTGTCTTTGAGATTTAGGAAACTCAATGAAGATCTTAAGTACTCTAGTGTAATAACCATTTATTGCAGCTTCCTAATAAAATTAACTCCTGCCTATGTCTAACCCTGCTCCAGAATTCCACGTTTATTTGGCTTTCATCTTACTATTTCAGATTTATTTTGACTTTGCTGTTTCTCTGTATTTTCATGAAAGCTGTCTTCAAATCTTTCATATATATAGTAAGGGTGCAATTTCTAGAGAATAATTTTATGCTACAAAGATCAAACAGAACATTTATGAGAAAACTCAAGGGGAATGTTACATAAACACTATGGAGTTCACACAGAGGACAGCCACTAAGATGAACACACAGAATTCTATTCTAAAAATCAAAGGCTCACAAGGCTTTGTATGTGATCTGTATCTGTCTCCCTGCTGTATTATAAGCGGCCTGAAGGAAAAGACTGTGTTGCATTGTTTGTATTGCCCTTACATACACAAGAATTATAACCAAGTGTCTAGACGTTCTCTTTCTTCTCTCTTGACTGCTTTCTGAATAATATTTTTAAATTTAGAAATAGAGACATGCATTAAATGTCTTTTTCCTACTTAAGCAGAGGAAATGGACAATTAAACCTATATCTTTAAGGGAAAATGTCATTAGCTCAGCATATATTCATTGAACACTACTTCCCGCACAGTGGTATAAATGCAAGTCTTTTCTTACTTCAGTGTGCTCCAAATGTAAATAAAGTCCGTAGTTGGAAATGCCTTTTTTTAAACAAAAAATTGATAATTCTGTTTCTAATGTGTTATTCTGGACGTCTTCTTTTTAAATTCTCCAGTGGAAGGGGTGTTTTCCTTCTCCTTTCGAGTGGAATCAGTCCTTGCTCCCAGTGCCCATCTGCTTGTTTATACTTTTTTACCTAATGGAGAGATTGTCGCAGACACTGGCAAGTTTGAGGTTGAAAACTGTTTTGCCAACAAGGTGGGTTGTTTTGTTTAAGACTATGTAGTCCTTTTATTCTTCTCCCATTGTGATGTGTGGAAAAGAAAGAAATAAGACAAACAGACATGCAGTGGTCCCAAAGCCTTCCTCCCAACTACCTCTAATGGCAGTGATGTCACACTGAGAAGTCTAGTGCTGACATCTGAAACAGGCAACCCCAAACACAATTTTTAAGTCTCTTGTTTTGTTATAAAATTCATATGGATTTCAAAATCAAGTAATCTATAAACCTTTAATAGTTTTAATTTTTTAATGTTTTGTTACTAATATTTTTGGATGGGTGTGGTGGCTCATGCCTGTAATCCCAGCACTTTGGGAGGGATCTGTCCAAGGTGGGCAGATTACGAGATCAGGAGTTTGAGTCTAGCCTGGCCAACATGGTGAAACTCAGTCTCTAACAAAAAATACAAAAAAAATTAGCTGGGCATACCGGCACGCACCTGTAATGCCAGCTACTCAGGAGGCTGAGACAGGAGAATAGCTGAACCTGGGAGGCAGAGGTTGCAGTGAGCCAAGATCACACCACTGCACTCCAGCCTGGGCAACAAAGCAGGACTCCATCTCCAAAAAATAAAACTAAAATTAAAAATTAATGATAGCCTAAAATTTTAACATAAGTTAAAATGGCATCTTTTTTATTTAAGGAATTCAAAGCTGCCATGTGAAGCTCTCTGAGATCTAAGTATGCTTTATTCCAACAGAATTTGGTGCTGTTTATCTGATTTTCACTACTCTAGCAGCATAATCATAACATTAGCAATCAGATAAGAGCTGTCTAGTTCAGGTGCCTGTTTTCAAATATACCTGGAAGGATGTTTTTTTTAACATGGGCTTTGTGGAGGTTTAAAACAAAATATGTTTATAGCAAGTGAACGTTTCTGCCCTGAGACCTACATTTAGATTATCTTGTTTTTAATATACAGTGAAATAAGAAAAATACACAGTGGATCCTGATGTAAACCTTTAACTCCATTTTACTAAAGAGTGCTATTAAACTTGGACTGTGTGTCCAAGAAGCGTAGCGTCTGTTCTGTTTGGATTTCTGGGTGTTTCATAGCCACTGAGAAGAGACTCCTTCATGCTTGAATACCTTTACTGTTAACGGTGGGTAGTTAGTTGGTTGTTCCGTCTTGGAATGGCCGTGTTACGCTCTGGTTTTCAGCACGCTTCATTCATTCTAGCAGTGGAGGCTCTTTCTGGATCAGTATCCTTTTCACACGCTGGAAATTGGAGAAGTATTATAAAATAGAATTGGCAGAAAACTAATTCTCTCCCCAGACTCCAGTCTGAAAAACACTTCTGATTTTGCAAAACATTTGATCGTCCCTGTGCAACAGTATAAAACTTCACCAGAGAAGCAGAAGCCCGTGGAGATTATATTCAATTACTTCATGTTAAACGCCTTTTAAGTCATCGTTGATCAGAATTGAAGATCAGCTATAAAAAATAACATGAACAAAGATTCATAAGACGCTTCAGAAGAAAGTTGACTACTACGAAAGTTAAAAAAAACAGTAGATCTATTAAAATGACAAATTAAGCACCTTAAAAGTTAGACATCTTGGTGAGACAATGAGCAAATAAACAGTGCACAGAGGATGTGAGGAAAGATCCCAAGTCAGACACGAATCCCTACAAAATGATACATTTAACTTTTTTTTAAATCTTTGTTGAGACAGAGAAAGTAGTTTTCTATTCAAACTTCATGTACTCATTTCTTCACTTACAAACAACAGATTTAGTGCACACATTAAATATTATGTAATAGTTGGAATTTTTTATTATACCCAACTGGATATGATTATTCATTAAGAATAACATTGGTAATAACTAATATAATATATCAGGTACAGACGCCTTTGAAATATACCTTACAGCTCTGTTTTGGTTTTCATATCGGTAAAACATTTTCTATGTTCTAAAATGTCCACTTCTTGCTAATAGTGTTTCTAGTTTATTATAATCCCAAATTGCTTGTTCTTTTGACATAGACAGTCACTAACACATTTTAATGAACTGAAATTTTCTACAAATAAAAACTAGTATATTTCAGAGATTCTCTGTAAGCAATGTTTTTGTAATGTTTTGAATTAGAAAGATGAATACTACTGCATCTTGAAGATAAATAATTATTGATTTATTTTTCATATATGTCTTATGATAAGCGATTCCAAACTGCTGTATTAATTCGGCAGACCACAAAGCTGGATTGTCATAGTGAAATTTAGCAACCTAATTTAGCTAAACATACTGATATTTTATTCCCGTACAAATCAGTTTTCAGTCCAAGAATCAAGGAAGTTACCTGATGCTACAACTATATAACCCAGATTCTTCTCAAGAAATGTCTATAGCCACAGAAGGAATTAATAGATTCACTTACCAATTAATTTTTTTGACCAAAGCAGAATCAAATCTTTGGGAAAATTCTGTACATTTTCTGTTGTTTTTTATTCACCATTTTTTGAATTGTCTGAACCGATTAACTCTTAGGCTGTATATTAGATATTTAACTTTTTAAATAGACCAGTAAATCCCCAATCATGATGAACAGTCCCACACTGCTTTAGAATTTCAGATGGCTGAGACTGCCAACCGGAGGAGATGCCTGTTGGCTGGTCCCAGGGGTGGAATGTGATTTTCACATCACTGTGCAAACTACACACAGTCATCCAGTCATCACAAAAACACGGCACAGAGATAGGTCAGTGATAGCAAGGGATGCATCTTTCTTGTATGTGTGTTTTCAGTTCTACTCAGAGTTCTATTTCTATATGATTAAAGTCAATTCATATTTCACCAGTTATACAAGGAATGGAAAACCTGAGTTAACTGGAATCAAATTTCCAGGTTTTCCAGAAACACTGAATTGGTAGTTCCTAAGCTGTTCACCTCTTAATTCTGCTCTGAGATGAATAAAGAGAAAGGAAGTATAGAAAAGCCTACTCTTACTCTGGAGTAGAAGAAGGGTTGCTTACTGTAATAATTATAAAAGTGTCTGCTTTAATCATGTCCTCTTTACAGGTAAATTTGAGATTCTCCTCAGCTGAGAGCCTGCCAGCCTCAGACAACCGCCTGAAGGTGACAGCCACCCCCTTCTCCCTCTGTGCCCTCCGTGCTGTAGACCAGAGTGTGCTGCTAATGAAGCCTGAAGCTGAACTCTCACCTCAATCTGTGAGTCCCATTTCAACCTTGGGGATCATGAAATGCCCACATGACAAGATCATTTTTGGAAGTTAGAAGTTCCAAAAATGTTTGCAAAACACAAGTTCTTCGGTGTGACAGGCATAGTGTAATTCCACAACAAGCATAAATTGCATGAAGTAATTTACATATCTTATCTCATTGTATTCTCTGTTATATTCTCATGGAGGGAGCAATCTTGTTTGCCAAAACAACCTTCATGCCTGGCACAGAATCTTTTGATTTTTTAACTTTTGAGTTCTGGGGTACATATGCCGGACGTACAGGCTTGTTACATAGGTGAACGTTTGCCATGGCTGGAAGTTTGCTGCACAGATCAATCCATCAACTAGGTATTAAGCCCAGCATCTATTAGCCGTTCTTCCTCTGCTCTCCCTCCCCCTGCCCCCGCCCCAACAGGCCCCAGCGTGTGTTGTTGCCTGCCATGTGTCCACGTGTTCTCAGCATTCAGCTCCCTCTTATAAGTGAGAACATTCAGTGTTTGATTTTCTATTTCTGCATTAGTTTGCCAAGGATAATGGCTTCCAGGTCCATCTATGTCCCTACAAAGGACATGATCTCATTTTTTATGGCTGCATAGTATTCCATGGAGTATACGTACCTCATTTTCTTTATCCAGTCTATCACTGATGGGTATTTAGGTTGATTCCATGTCTTCTCTATTGTAAATAGTGATGCAATGAACATTTATAATAGAATGATTTCTATTCCTTTGGGTATATACCCAGTAATGAGATGATGGGTCAAGTGGTATTTCTGCTTCTAGGTCTTGGAGGAATCACCACACTGTCTTCTGTTGAACTAATTTGCGCTCCCACCAACGTTGTAAAAGTGTGCCTTTTTCTCCCCAACCTCACCAGCATCTGTTGTTACTTGACTTTTTAATAATCGCCATTCTGGCTGGTGTGAGATGGTGTTTCATTGTGGTTTTGATTTGCATTTCTCTAATGATCAGTAGGATTGAGCTGTTTGTCATAAGTTTGTTGGCTGCATGAATATCTTCTTTGAGAATTGTCTGCACATGTCCTTTGCCCACTTTTTAAGGGGGTTGCTTTTTTCTTGTAAGTTTGTTTAAGTTCCTTGTAGATGCTGGATGTTTGATCTTTGTCAAATGAATAGATTGCAAATATCTTCTCTCATGCTCTAGGTTGTCTGTTCACTCTGATGATAGTTTCTTTGGCTGTGAAGAAGCTCTTTCGTTTAATGAAGTCTTATTTGTCAATTTTTTGTTGTTGCTGCTTTTGGAGATTTTGCCATAAAATCTTTGCTCATGCCTATGTCCTAAATGGTACTGCCTAGATTTTCTTCTAGGGTTTTTATAG